TCTAGCCCCGCTGCCCCCCCCCTCACTGGGCAGAGCCCATGTGGGCTAGGGCACTCTGGCCCCTGCCCCATCTTCCTCGCCCTGTCCCTGCCCTGCCCCCATCCCCTCCATCTCCCCTCTCTCAGTCCCTCCCACCCTCGCTTACTTTCCCCTGGCTGGGGGATGCAGGCTCTGGGAAGGGCCTGGGGGGTGCAGGGTCCAGCCTGGTGGTGCTTACCTTGGGCAGCTCAGGCAGGCACCCTGCATAGCCTGGCTCCATGCCATGCCGGAAGCGGCCAGCACATCCCAGCGACCTCTGGCGGGACTGGGGGCTCCATGCACTGGCCCTGCCTTCAGGTGCCATCCCCTGCAGCTCCTATTGCCCCGTTTCCAGCCAATGGGATCTGTAGAGCTGGCACTCAGAGCAGGGGCCGCATGTGAAGACACTCTACCCCCCAGGGTCAGCAGAGACATGCCAGCTGCTTCTGGGAGCGGTGCAGAGCCAGGGCCTGCCTGAGCCCTGCTGAGCCACTGGACTTTTAGCAGCCTCAAATCTCCTGGTTGAGTTCAGTAGCCCCTGGGATATGGAGCCTGATTCCAGGAGACTCCTGGGGGAACCAGGAGGGTTGATAACCCCCATGTGGGCCCTGGGGCCCATCTCCTGCAGTGCAGAGTGGGGACGGGGATCCAACCCCGACTGCTGTTCAGTGTGTCCCCAGCCAGGGCCTAGCTCCAAGCCAAGCCCCCCGCGCCTGCTTGCTCCCTGAGAGGCAGCCCTGGATGGCTCAGCAGGCTCAGGCGTGGGTCCCAGCTGCCCGCATGGCTGGTCATTTCCTTAGGGCCCATTCACCTTCAGATTTCTAGGATGGGAACCGAGGCAAAGGCTGGGGCCAGCACATGCCAGGGGAATCCAGCCCTGGGGTCTGTCCCCCATCCCACCAAACCCAGAGCCCCTCGCTGGGACCCCCACCCCCACGTGGCTCCAGGGCAGCAGCGGCTCCTGGGAGCGATGGCCCCAGCCCTCAAGGGAGGGGGGTTTCCCCGGGGTGCCCTGAAGATGGGACAGCATTGAGCCTACCCCAGTGCCTCTCCTCCCCTCCAGCACAACTGTGTGAACGCCTATTGGTTGGACCGCAGCGCGTGGAACTACGCCTACTGGGCCGCAGGGAACAACTATGGCTGTGGGATCAATGGTGTGGCCCTGTGCACCGTAGGTGAGTCGCCCTGGGGGCGGGGGTGCAGGGTGGAGATGGGGATCTCCGCACTGCTTGTGGGCCCTGGGGCAGGGGAACCGGGCATCTCTGGGACAAGGCATCTGGGGCTAGGACGGGGGGAGAGGGTGGCAGGGGTCTGGGATTTGCTGGAGGCTGGGCGCCAGGTGCAGGCCTGGAGGGCATTGACCCCCTCCCCTCTTTTCCAGGTGGTCACTGGAGAAGCGTCAATTGCGCAGCTCGCCTGCCCTTTATCTGCGAATACTGAGAGAGATGCTCCCCTCATGGGGCTGCCCTGCCCCCATCGCTCTGCTGGCCTGGGCCTCCCCCCCCCCGGCCCCCCCACAGCTCCCCAGGGGGGCACAGCCCCAGGCCCCCCACTCTTGGTTGTGGCCTGTGACTCCCTGCAATAAAACAGCTTTTCATTCAGCACCCCTGGCCTCGCTCCTTCTTGCTGGGGCTGGGCTGGGAGGGGAGAGCGAGAGAGGCTGGGGGTTACCCCACCTGGGGCAGCAGGGGGAGTTACTGCTGCTTGGGGACCGTGTCCAGTTCTGGGGTCCCCCTGGGATGTGCTTAGCAAGCAAAAGGCGCAGAGATGCCAGGCCCAGAAGGGAGCAGAGCCACTGTCAGGCAG